TAGCTATAAAGGGTTTGTTATCGGCCTCAACAATTTTTACCTCATTTCCATCCCAAAAAATCAACATTTGATGCAAGGTTAATGGGATGCACATGTTAGGATGAATCCAATCTCGGCCTAAAAGGAGATTATAGGCTGTGGTTGAATCAATGATAAATAAAGCCGTAAAGGATGTCTTACTGCCAATAGTAATTTCCAAAGGTAGAATACTTTTAGTGTTACTAGATCCTCCATTAAAACCATTGATGGCCACGTCGGTTGGAACTACATCGTCCATGGTTTTACCTAATTTCTTCAAAGTAGTTGTTGGAATGACATTCACCACCGAACCATTGTCAACCAAAACCCTATTGATTGGCTGACCCTCAACCCATACTTTAACATACAACGGCCTCAACTGCTATGTTATGGACAAATGTGGTTTTTCGAAAATGATTTTATCGGCCTTAGATGGCTGATCCTGAGAGATCAATCCTATCTCGGCCGATGAACTTGTCGAATCGTTCTTAATTTCTGAAGATTCAGCCTTTTCCTCCTGCTTGGCTGACTCAACATCCCTGTTCATCGCTGGTTCTATCCTTGCTTCAAACACAGAAGGCAAAACAAATACCATGTTACAATTTACCTCATCCGGGAGAGAACCAAAACGAATTCTGTACTTGGCCGCATGCTTTGGATCCTGGTCTGGCTGATCATCTTTTTCTTCATAAAAACATGCCTTATTCTCAAAGGATGTAGCAACCTCCATGTCTTCAGCCACCACTGGTTCATTTTTTCTTTCTAGTTGATCATGGTCGATCTTGTCTTCTTTCCTTTTGAGTTCTGCATTTTTTCTTTGCATCCTCCTTTTTTGAGTACGTGTAGGAGGTTGCTTAGGAAACTTTGGGTGATTTACTCGAGTCCATCTGCCATGGTCAACCAAAAGAGGTCTAACCGTTCTTACACAGCTAGATTCTTCTCCTTTTTGAACCCATATTTCTGACTGAATTGTTGGTTTCCTTTTGAAACTAGGATAAAAATGTTGTTCTGGCAGGACTCTATCGGCCACCGATGACCGAATGATTCTCACTGCCCTCGGCCCATTTTCTCTAAATATTGATCGATTGATTTCTTTATGATTCTGTCTAGGCTGATGGCCTAACCTTTCATGGACACTGCGCTTTCTGGTTGATTGGAAATAGCCCCTCTTGTCTGAGTCATTCCTTCGGCCTTTGCAATTTGGACAACAACCATGGTTGATGAGGGCAATTTGAGCTTCTCTTAACTGAATTTCCAAGTCCTTAACTTTCTGCTCATCATTACTGGCCGATGAACTACCAAGAACTTTTGGTAATCTTTCCTGTCTACCATTATCAGCGGCTTTTTCAGTTGCCAGGCTGATTACATTGGTACTGACAATATTAGGAAATGGATCGCCATCGACCCCCATTACATCTGGCTTCTTTTCAGGGAATTTCAATACACCTTTATCGATAGATTTCTGCAATACATTTCTAAATACATAACAATTGTTAGTAGTATGATTCCATGAATTATGAAATTTGCAGAACTCTCTTCCTTTTAAATCATTGGTCAATGGTATATTGTGTCCTTTTGGCAAAACGATTTGTTTGTCGGCCAACAAATGATCAAAAATTTGTTCTGTTTTGGCCAAATCAAACGTATAAACCTTACCAGTATCAGCCGTACCCTTCCTGGCCGATGAAGTCGATGGCTGAGTACCACTGGTGGATACATTTGGTTTTGTTAAAGCGTCACATACATAAGGCTTCTTTAGAATGACTTCGGCTAAATTAGCTTCAAAATCTTCCTCTTCAACCACATCAGTTGAATAAACTTCATAGTTGGGGTCCCTATAGTACGTACCTTTAGAGGAATTTTTTCGTTCTTTCTCCTCTTTGAGAACTAACTCATACCTGGTAGCTTTCTCGGCCAGGTCATACATGTCACAAAATGGAACTCCTTCAAACCTCTTCCGAAGTTCAAAATCAAGGCCGTTCAAAGCCAAACGAATGTACTCCTGTTCTGGAAGAGGTACACGACATCTTAATCTTGCTCTCCTGAATCTTGCAATGAATGTCTCGACCGATTCACTAGGCAATTGACTTAGCCTGGATAAATCGGCCAGAGTAGGTTCTGTCTCCATACGGTAGAACTGATTGTGGAATAATTCCTCCATCTGTGGCCAATTAAAAACAGAGTTAGGAGGTAGACGAATATACCATGAAAAAGCTGCCCCTGTCAAAGAGTTAGGAAAAAGTCTCAATTTCAACCACGGGCTAACACTGGCCTCTCCACATTGAACCGTGAATCGACCAATGTGTTCCACGGTCGATTGATTCCCCTCTCCACTAAAGGTTACAAAGTCAGGGACTTTATATCCTCTAGGGAACTCAACTTGGTCTACCACTTCTGGATAAGGAGTTCTATAAATTGGTCGGCCGGCACCTCTAAGTTCCAGGCCATATTCTTCTGTGAGTAAATCAGCTAATTGTCTTCTATCTAACATGACTTGAGGTGGCTGATTTAATATTGGTGGTACCTGATTAAAATGGTTGATAGCAATTCGGCCAATCATGTGGCTGATTAGCCATATTCTGCCCCCCGAGCCCTACCTGTGGCGGCACATGAGTATACAGTGGGTTCGGTGGCCTCCACCTGATCTAATTGCCCCCCGAGTTCAAAGGCATCCGAGGAGGGTTTGGTGGAATTACCTGTGGCCGCGAACCTGCTACTGGTGGCTGATTAGAACCTGCCAACGTAGGCTGAGGATAGCTTTCTGCCCAGGTGAGTAGCGTATGAACCGGCTGACTTGATGTTGCACCTGGTTGGAGTGTCACTACTGGCGGCCATGGCTGTGATGTTTCAATGGCCCTCTCTGGCCGAGCAGCTTGTGATAGATTCGGCTGAGAAGCCGATTCCTGATTGTTGGAGCTGCTAGCTTGAGTCGGCTTGTTCAAAATAAAGGCTGAGAGTTGGGACATATTTTCATGCAAGTCGTTGTAGCGTGCTCCCATCCTTCCCATTGCATCTACCAAGGAGCTAACCTGTGCTTAAAGTATGGCTAACTCATCAGTAGGACCTGCTGCAGAGTTCTCAGCCTGTACTGGCTGATCGCCTTCCTCCAAATCTTCATCAGTAGCCACGGCCTTAGAATTTTTTGTGGGCCGTGGCATATTTGCCTCTTTTATAACACTCTAGTAGTGGTCCCACCGGGCGTGCCAAAACGTGTTCGCGCGGTTTTTGTTCCCTACGCCGGTCGATGGACTCTTCACGGGCGTGCCAGAGTATTTGTACAAAATACCCAAAATATGTAATTGAACACCAGCCTATCCCTTTTTCCGATGGCTGACTCTCAGGCGATTGTGTGGGAGAGAGACTAGTAAGAACTCCCAGCAAGGTTCTTTTATGCCTTGTTTGTAGCAAGGACTTTTTAGAGTGTCTAAAGAAATGCAACGGCTGATGAATGTTTGAATGGATGGAATGGCCGAGTGAAGACAGATAGCGAGAACTTAATCAATCGCCATCAGCCAAACACAATGGCAAGAATTTAATCGATCGCCACTAGCCAAACACAATGGCAAGAATTTAATCGATCGCCACTGAAACGTGATAGCAAGAATTTAATCAATTGCCATCAGCCAAGTAATGACAAGAATTTAATCAATTGTCACTACGATTCAATGGCAAGAATTTAATCAATTGCCATTGAATTGAAAGCCTAACTAAAATTGCGTAATTAAAATTAGAATAATTGAAATTGAAAGAAAGTAAATGGCTGAATCGAAATAGTTGACGAAGATCTAATCAATTGCCATTAAATTGAAATAAAGAAATTGATAGGAAAATGACGTAGAGTCAGTTGAAAACATTTTTAGTTGAAATGCATGTTTTGTGGTGGTGCTGGACCATTGGAATAGGATTACATCTTTCCTACTTATAGAATTCTTTCTCAACTTATTTTCCTAACTTTTTGCCAGAAAATCTCTCATTCCCTTGATTTTCTTCACTTTGTTATTCAAACTAGGTCAAAACCCAATATTCTTTTGCTTCTTATCTCGTCTTGCTCCTTGTTTCAATAAGAAAATCCTTGCTGGAAACTTTCTTTGATCTAGTCAAATGTAAGTTGCTAGAATGTTGCTGAAAAGTTGCTAAGTTCTAGCAACTTCCTTTTATAAACTTGGCAGCTGTGTTCTATCCCAAGTGGCCCATCCTTTAGCGCCATGTCAAGGCCACTTGTCACAATTAGATTTGTTCACTTCATATCTCCAAAGCTTTCCTTCTATACATGTCTCCAAAGCTTTCCTTCTTTCATCCAACTAAACTTCCTATTTTATACGAATTTAGTTATTGAGTTTCATCCAAACTCTAGCCTTTTCATTTTCTATTAACAGCCTATTTTGAAAAAATTCAAATGTGAGGTGCTATATTTTAGCAACTACCATGACATATATCTTCCTATATTTGCTCTTAATATTTTTAAACTGGCCGATCCCCTTGACTCTATATTAGAAATACCTATTTGCTTCTTATTGGTCCACGTCATCGTTGAGATGGCTGCCAAATTTTGGTACCAACAGAAGTACAAGTCGATTTTTTCGTACTTGATAAGAAAGTATTTTATCAATTATTAATACCCATCTTTTATCGATTTTCAATGATATTTCGCTATGTGTCGCTCTAATCTCTGATGTTTAATAACGTGCCAATTTTTCAAACCATCGATTTGCGGGATTAGTTGAGATCGTATATCTGATCCGTCCATTAAAATTTTATTTTTATTCGGAGTAGCTATTAATCAGATCCGTCCATCAAACGACTTCAGTGGGACCCACTTTAGCGCGTAATCCCTTTCTTAGTCGCCAAGTGTCCTATACAACCACTCAGAACTGTGGTCCTGTCGCGATTCACCCAAAGAAAAGTCAAGAGATTCTAGATTTACTTCAAAACTCCACAAATGTTAAACGGCCACATCTCCAAAACTAATGCCTAAATGACACTATTACCCTTACCTCTCCTACTCAACCCCGTCACCTCCTACCGGCACTCATGTGATCAGTTACCTTACTTTCTCTCTCTAGAAAAATTTCCTTGCAGATCCATACACCTCCACAAACCCAAAATCCTAATCTATCTTAGCCCACCACACAAATCTTAGAGGACATTTTTTCTCTCTCTCTCTCTTCCTTTTCTACGAGGTTCGTTTCGTTTTATATTATCCACTTTCGATTTGATTCTCTGTTCAATTGTTGTTGTAACCATAGCGATCGATTTAAATTTTGTTTATTGTGTGACTCTGTGTAGTGTAGCTTAATGGGTGTTTCAATCTTCTGCTAATTACTGCATAGAACTGATTTGTATCTGGGTTGAGTGGATCAATTATGAATAATTTTGGGATTGCGAGTTGAAAATAAGGTCTGTGACACAGCTTGTTAAATGGGTCAATTGGGAAAAGTTTTTGTGCAATTTAAATTATTTAATGAATGAGGGACTTGGGCTGATTAGGATTTTAAAATTCGTGTTGATTTGATAGATGCAATTCAGGGCTTTAATTACCCTTGTTTTGTTTTCTGAGAAAATATATTGAAATTCTACTCAGTTTAGTCTGATAATTGGACGGTGCGCTGTTGGGTTCACTAATTAATCTCTATGGGGTCCTAAGTAATGAAAAGTATAAAAAATCCAGATTTGGGGTTTAATTTTTGCTCATTACATTGCAATTTGAGATCTTGATGCTTTGTTAATGTTAGGAAACCAATATTATTCTAAATCTATTAGGCAGTCTTTTTTTTTCCAATTGTTATTTTCTTGCTTAGGAAGTCTATTAATTCCTTATTTTCCTATATAATGATGGGAATGTAATAGAATTAGGGTTATGAATGAAAAGTTGAGAATTTTGCTGGGTAATCCCCAATTCAAAGGATTTTTGGTGGCTGATCTCCAATCAAAAGACCAATTTAGGGTTTAGAACCCTAACTGTTAATTTCAGAATATTGGGGTGTAATTTTTACTCATTGCATGTCAATTGTGAATATCAATATTTTCTCAATTTCAGAATATTAGGGTATAATTTTCTTATTGAATGGCAATTTGGGATTTCAATGCTTTGTTATATTCATATTATAGATTTTTAAGTCAATTCGCAGTCACTTGGAGTTGTCAAGTCTTTCAAAGGAATAGCCTTGTTGAATTTTGTTTGCTGTTTGGGTTTTTGATCTGATGGAGGATATGGTTTTTGAGATCCTTATACTGTTCTATAAATTTAATTTCATGGATTATTTACTTGTAAGATTGGAAATTTGGAATTATGATTTGTGATTGTGACTTGGAGTGACGGGTATGATATATGTGTCTGTATTGTTTTTGTTTTTGTGCGTGCAAAGTATTGTGCACAACAGGACTACACTGTCTGCCATTTTTACACATCTCAGATGCTAGTTTCTCTATTTTGACTGCAGGAGGGAAGGCCATGTGAACTGTTTGAATTTGACTGTAATTACCACATTTGTCAGTCAGTCAGTCTATTGGTCGTATTGGTGTACCCAAGATGAGTATTGGTAAGGGTTGTGAGAAATTAGGAAGAATGATGCCAGGGAATGTGTCTGTGAGTGCTTACTCGTCTTCTCTTCTACTATCCCCAGTTCTTTCTGTTTGGGATTGTATTGTTCGTAAAATGATGTACTCCTTCAAACCTGAGTGGGTGTAGGTATCGGTTTTTAGTTTTCGACGTCATATTAGTTTTCAATTCCGGAACGTACTAGAATTTATTTAGTGTTAAATATTAAAAAGGAGAAAGAGAAAAACAAAAGATATAGAGATAATGCATGTGTCTTAGAGAAGTTTTCTTGTTGAAAAAAAGTTGAACAAGCAAGGCTAAGTAGTTGGAGGGGTTGGTAGTGTGTTATTGGATAACATGGAATCTGCCAAGCTGCCATCTGGATCTGGAGTTAGAAAAGTGAAGAAGAAGCAAGTGAAGGATGAGTTGGATCGTCTCAAACAGGCTGAGAAGAAAAGGCGGCGCTTGGAGAAAGCCCTGGCTACTTCAGCAGCCATCATTTCAGAGCTGGAAAAGAAGAAACAGAAAAAGAAAGAAGAACAGCAGAGGCTTGATGAGGAGGGCGCTGCGATTGCTGAGGCAGTTGCCCTGCATGTCCTACTAGGTGAAGAGTCGAACGATTCATGTAAGATCATGCTGAATAAGGATGATGAGGGATTCAACCCTTGGGATTGTGCTAGCAATGATGACCCCGTCATGGGTGAATGTAGAGCACTCCTTCCCCATCAGGACTTCTCGAAACATTCACTTGAAGAAGTTGGGTGGTTGTCTAATGCTTACATATCTGGATATGAGTGGAATGACGGGGGACACAGTGACTGGTCAATCTCGTGTGGACATTTTGGGAGGGATCTCCATACCTCATATTTTGATGAGGGATGTTGGGATACTACAGAGATTTCTGCAGGTCTTATTGCGGCACAGGCTGTTTCTTCACTCCAAATTGCAGAAGACTCCCACGTAGACCAGTTGGTCTTTGGCAGAATGCTAAGAGGAGAGTAAGATGAAGAGCCTCTGTTATGTAGTCTGGTCACTTGATAGTGTCCTACTCTTGGTATGGTTCTCAATAATGCCCTGTATATATTTACGGCGCATGTGCCCCTTCTTATTTACTGGATATCATGTTTGTTCCATTGAACACTGTTCCTCAATTCGGCTCTCAAGCTTCGTTTTTTCATGTTATTCTGAGAGCTTCGTATATCCTTGTTGAATGGTACGCAACTATGAGACGCCAAAGACTTGATCTTTGTTTACTCTAGGCAAAAAACATTGGTCAATGGAGCTTGAGGTTTTTTTGTGGTCCCTTAATATTTCACAGTTTTATCATCTCCTTAATATTTCACAGGTACTATTTCTTGATTACTTCTCTTTGTTTCTTGGAACAGTTTTATCATCTCCTCTCATACTATTTCTTGATTGCATAATAATAGTCGAATTGTAGAATTCCAATTCACGTGATTTTTGTTGTGGTACTCTCCGCTAGCAATGGGAAAGGAAGGGTCAACTCCTGCAAAATTATGCTATTTTCTGATCGTCCGCGATATTAGGCACGTAAAATCCGAAATTATTTTCTTCATTTTTCAGTATTTGGGAGACTCCAAGATTAGGAAATTATTTTTCAATGTAAATATTTTACTGAAAATGATTTACTAAAAATTTCGTTAGTAATTTTTCATATATTATCTTGGGTCATCTAATCATTGGGATTTTTATTGAACCCTGCAAAGTTGGGTTGGTCGGTTGACGAACAGATTTGGGTCGATAGTAGGAATAGAGAGTGGGGAGAGAGAGTAACACTTGTGAGTACTGTTGGTGATATTGAAGAAAGAGGGAGTTAACGGGCCACAAAAGCTAATCTAGAAAATATTTTACTAAAAAATGAAAAGAACATTTTACATGAAAATGTTTTGTTTAAAAAATATTTTACAAGAAAAACATTTTACTTTTCAAAATGTCAAGCAGCATTTTGATCACACACAATGGATTATGAGCCGCAGGAATAGCTTGGCATGTTATGACCATGAGCCTGAGAGTATTGTGGCCAAGTGAAAACCAGAAAACAAATTTTGCCTTATTTGGAAGGACTTTTTATTTTTTTGATGTAAGGTTTATTTAAAAGAATGTTGAGTAAAAGTAATAGAAACTTAAAACTTTTCATACGACCAGAAAATTCTACATTGGCTTTTACAAACGGTGCCTTAATTGCAACAGCACTTCTTTGCCAACAGTTTCAGTCAACATCCCTAAACACGAGGAAATTTCTAGTACTAATCGATTCTATAATTTCTGTTCACAGCTGGTCTCGGGTATATGTAAATATACGCTAAAACAGGTAAATATAAAGTGAATGTGAAAGTAACAAGCATGTGAATCTTACAACACTTGAAACAATCATTCTACCCAACATACAGTTTCCAAATTCACCCCCATTATCCACCATTTTCCAAAAATTAAAAATTTAGAGGAAAAACAACAAAGCATGTCCGAAGTTCAATAAGAACTTTCACTCCTTGAACCTTGATCATGTGTAAGAGTCAAGAATATGGGAGAGGAAAAAAAAAAACAATAGAAATGGTCTCTCTTTTTTCGGCAGAAATGGGCAAATTTCACAGCTAAACAAAATCTGAGAACATGTTTACACTAATTCATAATGAACAACATGCCAATGACTTTTGAGTAGTTTTGACTCGGTACATGTAGCAGTCATGCTTGTTGATAATAGCTCCTCATGTACCATGCTGTGAGTTCTGCCGCAGGGGTGCTTCTGCATCTTGCTGTTGTTGCTGCAGAAGCCGATCCTCCTGATTTTCCAGCTCCGAACTACTAGAGGGTTTGGCACCCGCAGAAACAAGGTTTCTAAACCAAGTACCTTGGAATCTAGGAGCTTCTCTGTTTGAATCGTCTTGGGACTCAGAAGTAACAGCTGAATTGGAAGAGACACCCACAAGAAACTGATATGCAACTTTGCTGGCGGATACAATCTCTGTTTTAGCTTGTCTTAGCTGCAACAACCCACAAAAACTATGAGAGGAAGTACTGGAAGACCACATTTTGAGCAAGGTAGCATGGAACCAACATAAAAAGCATAGCTATTAAAATATCAAGTGCAGATTATGAATCCACATCCCAGTGCAGGCCAATTCTAGCACCATACTGCATGATGAAAAAACTTGGTGCACCTGGACAGCTAATAGGCAACTCCAAACAGTGTCACATTTAACAATGAAATTGGAGAGAAGGGGATGGCATGCATCAAGGTTTGCATGAAACTACTTTCCCCATTTTTGGCTGGTACAAAGTGATGGCAGAAATAGAATTTCAATTCAAGAAGTTTGCAACCATCTCACCCGATATGCTGTGCTTCCTGCTATCTCGACAGCAGTATCACCAGCTTGAGCGAACCGGTTAACCCAACCTGTTACAGTAATTTTAAGAACGTGCTTGACATAGTGAATTGCAACCACCAAAATTAACCTGTTTTAAACAAAAATTGATTTCTCAAAGGTAAAATAACACATGACAAAAGATGCAGGCCATGAAGATACTAACATAAATAAAGTAAAATGAGTCGATATTGGATACAGACAACTGAATATATCATATGCTATGGTGCATAAACTTCCACATAAATTTGTGAATTTGTGTCATCACTGTCATGCTATGGTCGTTAATATCAAATTATCAATTGGACTCTACAATTTTTTATAAACTTCTCTGGGTTCAAAATCCACAATATTTTTGTGTTAAAATTCACATGAAACCTTCAAATAGAACCCATTATATATATACATATATATATATTTGTGCATTAAAATCTGGTTGTACATTGACACGAAATAATCATAATATTACAGATGATGACAACTACACGAGAAATGATCACGTGATTCAACTTTTTTACAATGAAATGATCCATTAAAATAGAAATACATTCACAATAAACTAGAAAATATGTAAAGATATGTCATAGATAAACCATTATGTATAATTTCCACTATATATTTCCAGTAGATGTGATATATTAACTTCAGTTCGTCCCAAGGACAAAGTAACAATTGCTGCAGTGCAGCTGTACCAGATGCTTCCCAATGGTACATCATTTTTGAAAATAAGAAGACCCTATTAAATTGTGTTAAGATAGGAATCTTCAAATGTCATTTACACTATCCATGATAAAGCATTTACGCTATTCTGCCCCTATTATCTCATCTAACCAAAGGGTCCCGACTATTTAGTGTTTTATATGTACATATATTTCAATAAAATTCCTAAAATGTCAATTGACATCTAAAATAGTATTTAAACCTTTTCAAGCAAACTATCTACAAACTTTCCAGCAAAACCAAAAAGCTTGATGCCTTAGTTTGCACTAAATTTTTCAATGACTGCCACTCATAGAGGAAGTTGTGTAACTAGAAGACTAGTAGTCAAACTATGGTGAGTATGAGTCTCATGCTGAGCAGGGTGATTCATACTCAAGTAAGCCTCGTTCAACCCACTAAGTGTTAGTTATAAAATTTGGGTTAAAGCCCCTCGGGCGTTGGGAAATTTACATCCTCCATAATTTTTTATATTATTTATTTTTTCCCTTGGCAAGAAACTCACAATCCCACATGCCCTCATGGAGACTTGAACTCTCAATCTTATACTTTGGAAGGCGAAGAAGTACCCACCAGGATACAGCCTTTGGTTCATCCTTCATAAATTTACTTAACAAGAAGCAAGAAAATGCCAAGGTATTAACTCTTTTCAGGTATGAGAGCTTAAATCCTCAACTTCCCATGTAAGACACCTACTATTGGCCCTATGAGAGCTTGAATCCTCAACTTCCCATGTAAGAGGAGGAGATACCACTCGAGCTATAGACTCAGTGGTTTCCCAGAAGCATTAACTTGCCCATATATATTCCAGCTCAATGAACGGAGGATCTGCCCACACTATCCATTTCAAATTTGTATGGCACATCTGGAGGCAACACACCTTGTCTATTAAGCAGAGCTGTACTTGGACAGGGATGCAATGTTGCTTCTCACATGTTTAAGAAGCTGTAATGTATATCACGGTGATGGGCACTTCATCCATAAGCACAAAATAATATTTAACAGAGTCTAGTAGTCCAGTACATAATATTCAGATGTAAGGGGGGAGATGAAAATGCAAATTACCAGGAAGTTTAGACACACCGAGCCTTTCACAGAGCTCATCACAGAAGTGATTGCAGTTTTTTGACAACAAGTCATATGAGTTTCCAGGCCACTCTCTACTAAGTTCTCTGAGAATCTGATTGACCTTGAATATAGAAAAGCTTGTTTCTCCAAGGACAATTGATTCACGATATGTATACATCGGATTTTTTCCACAAGGGCAGCTAAATACTCCAGTACCTTGCTCACAGAACCCAAATGACCACTCCTCGTCTCCATAAACCTGTCATACAATGATACATATACCAAATTTCAAAATTCAAATGTTACCAACAATAACATTAAGGTCATATTTAGACATGGGAAATGCATACAAGCATTGTGGACATTCATAAACACTAGATAGATGCACATTAGTTGAATGTCAGGTTGGAAGCTGAAAAAGAAGCAGAAAAAAGCAGATTTATGACTTGTGTTAGAAGGGCCAATTCTACTTGCATTAAATATCACAAGTTTTCTTCTCATTTATGTTTTGGATGACCGTGATATATGCTTGATGCATATGAATATCGATCAAAACTTTTTAAAGTTCAAATCTTTATCAATAACACCTTGTAAAATCTTTTTTTTTTTTTCCAACACCGCAGGTATCATGACTCAGTGGCCACTGAATCGATAACTGCTGAGAGTTGTAGTTAAAAGGAATTTGCAAAAACAAATTCGGAAAAAGAATATTAATATGTATGATCATGAACAATAAAAAAAGGGGAAAACATAAAGTTTAACAGCCAAGAGGATAATCAAATTCACAGGCCAGCGAATGATAAGATAGAAAGAATCTCATTCTTCACATCGAATCAATCTTTATCATTATACAAATTGTCTAATGTGTAGGAGAATGTTCATACTTCAATTGTCAAATCTCATTCTTCACATTGAATCAATCTTATCATTATACAAATTTTCTAATGTGTAGGAGAATGTTCATTCTTCAATTGTTAAAAGGGTGCTCCTACACCATTAAAACAGTAAAATTCTTATTAAAAGAAAAGGCACTTCCTTCGCTTGCTCTCACCAACTTACTCAGACTGCAAGGGTTGAAACCGTCCCTTCAGCACCCAAACCTCTTTTTAAATTATGAAAAAAAAAAAAAAAAAAAAAAAAAAAAATTAAAAATTACCCAGACTGCCAGTCCTGTAGGTTGGACGGATTGATGGGTCAACCCAGGCTCGACCCAAGGAATAAAATCTCCAATTCTCAATCCAAGCCTAACCCTTGCTCAAATATTTTGAACTTGGGTTGAGCTCAGGTTGGAAAAATCAAGCTAAAGATCAAGGTTGATCTGTGACGAAGAATAAGATATTGATTACAATTATGTACATAATATGCAAAATTATTAATATAAATATAATTTGGGTTTAGAATTAGGGTAAATCCATTTAACTAGGATTGGCCCTGGTTTGGGTTGCTTTTCAATTCAATCCCAACCATAATTTTGAAATGGTTGCCAGACCTGTGGAAAAAACCAGGTTGGGTTTGAATTAGCCACCCAAGTTCAACCCTACAACTTATGTCCCCCCTCTCCCTATAAATATGCAAAATTATAAATATAAATATAATTCGGGTTTTGAACTAGGGTAAATCCATTTAACTAGGATTGACCCTGGTTTGGGTTGCTTTTCAATCCAATTCCAACCATAATTTTGAAATGGTTGCCAGACCTGTGGAAAAAACCAGGTTGGGTTTGAATTAGCCACCCAAGTTCAACCCTACAACTTATGTCCCCCCTCTCCCTATTCTACATTCATACTCTTTCTTGTGGATTACAAGAATACCCGGTTATCCCTACCCTCCAGCCAACTTATCTTACACTTGCGTCACCACCAATGGGCTAAGGAGACCTTAATTATCCACAAGTAGTCTCTTCAGCAATAGAACTCTGAACCACTCTCTCAGATTGCAGCCCATAGAGGAGGCTTACCTCTAAGATTGTCAACAAGGAAACGATGAATCTTCAACAATTTGAAAAGACATGAATAGTCGCAAAAAGTTAATATCATGCCAAAAAACTATGAATTAAGTCTTGAGAAAAAAAAAAAATCAAGTATAATAATTAAGAACACATACAGAAGAACAAAACAAAAGAAAACTAGGTGCACCAAGGTTTTCACAACCATTCCCTTGAGGAAGAGGGTTTGAAGAATATGAAAAAAATAATAAGAGACTAACCGTTCCCATGAGGAAGGAGGGTTTGAAGAATATGAAAGAAATAATAAGAGACTAACCATTCCCATGAGGAAGAAGGGTTTGAAGAATATGAAAGAAATATAAACAAATAATAAGAGACATGCGCACCAGCACCAAATTATATACTCGACAATGGTTTGTGAAAAATTCATGCACTCATCTCAGTGTCCTTTCCAAGATGACCCGTTTGAACCCTTATTCTTTATTGAAATTGATCAAGTCCAGAAGCTTCTTCCAAGAGCAGAAGATGAGCTTCATATTGGTTATAAGTTGATAAACAAAGCATAGATGTCTTCCCTTTCGTTTACAACTAATATGTCTCCTTTATCAACACAACAGCAGAAATTTTGATCATTTTATAAATAAAGAGAAATGCTTTGACTAAGTAGTGAAGTCTGCACAAACAACAAATTTGCATATATCAACAATGGAATATCCATACAATAGTGAAAACAAAAGTTAATTGTATCATACCAAAGTTAATTCTTGTTTTCTGTAACATACATAACACTGTGGACCTGATATTAAGATTGCACAATGGTCCAAGTTATGGAATTCTAAAACACGTAAACACATTCCCTAATTAATTGTGGCAGCCAGAGATGCACCTTTCTCAGATACCAATATCACAATAAGTAAAAGAGAATTATTTATTTAATTTTTTTAAACTAAAAAAAAAAAAAAAAAAAAAATGCCACTGCATAATAGCAGTCTTGACATCAACTTAAATAATTATAACCTCTCTGCTAAAACATAAAGAAGTTGAATATACTAATACTAACTAAAGGATAAGTATCTTCTAAAAAGAAAATGTTTTCAAAATATCACTTCAAGATTTATACTCAACAAGCAATGTAGCCAACAAAGCCAACCATGATAGTTATTTGTTAGAGGTAGCATATTTTATCTGAAAGGGAGTTCTGCTATGCAGCATTGTCTCTGGGAAACTAGATCCAACAAACTTAATTTTATCTCTTCAGCCCCTGTATCTAAGAAAGCTAAATACCACAATAATACAAATTTACAATAACCATAAACACATTTTGGATGAAATCCAATGAAATTTTAAAAAACTTGGGTTCTACTGACAACTCCAGTAAAAACACTAATTAGAAAGGACTTGTTTGTTATAATCTGGAATAATTTCACTTGCTTATTGACAAAAAAGTCTATGCATGAGGATTAACTACTGTATGCCTTTGCTCAGGAACAAAAAACAATGAAGGAAAAAGATCCTCTATGAACATGTTAATTATTCCAAATTTAGTAAGAAAAAATAGGATAAGCAATTTCTGCCGTCACTAATACAATAGATCTTAAAGCCTGGTAAAATGTCAGGAAAAAAAAATTGGGCTAAGTAAATGCAACTATGAGATATCAAAAGGTACATAAATACCAGTTGTTTAGGTTGGGTTTTGCAAAAAAAAAAATTATGGGAGATCACAAAAGCAAGTATTAACACAACAAACTAGAAGCAAATAATCTGGAATAATTTCACTTGCTTATCAACAAAAAACTCTATGCATGAGGATTAACTAATGTATGCCTTTGCTCATGAGCTAAAAAATGAAGAAAAAAGGTCCTCCATGGACCTCTTAATTATTCCAAAATTAGTGAGAAAAAACAGTATAAGTAACTTCTGCCCTCACTAATACAATAGACCTTAAAGCCTGGTGATCAAATGACAGGGAAAAAATAACGTGCTAAGTAAATGCAACTATGCGATATCAAAAGGTACATAAATACCATGTGGTTAGTTTGGGCTTTAAAATAAAATTATGGGAGATCACAAAAGCAAATATTAACAAAACAAACTAAAAGCAAATAATAACATCGTTTTATGTAGGATATACAGCCAACACATCTTGTTGCTTTAACAATTGGACATATAATGCCTAGGAATATGATTGACTTCTCAGAGGGACCCAACAGCAAAAGAATAAATAAATAAAATCAACACCGATCCCATAATTAATTTTTTCAGGCATGGCTTATAAAATACACTGCCCTCACAATAATGAACAAATATCCTTAGCCTTTGGTTTTTCAAATTGAGGTCGATGCAGAATGCCAAATTAAGAGAGGTTGTTATCAAATCTTGAGGTTTTAAGATATTCCAAACTAAGAGAAAGTCATGAATGTGAATTTGTTAAGAATACAAGTCATGAGCAAGTAACAAAAAAGAGCCACCTCAAGATCAACAGCTCTTGATGTCACTATGCAATTATCCATGAGTAGACCAATGGGCATTAGTTCAGATGGTATCATCTCTCCTGCCCAAAGAGGAGGTTGAGAGTTTGAGCCCTCCTAGGGGCAGTATTGTGGGTGCGAGTGCGTTTGCTTGAACTTCCATATATATATGCATTATAGAGGTAATGGAGTAAATGGACTAACAACCATCTTAAAGAGGAAACACAAACAAAGTACCAACTATTCTTACCCCCTATTTCTCCAAACTTAACCTTTGGTACAAATTATTATTATTATTATTTTGCATTTCTTGACCCTTTCAATGAGATGTTAAATTAACAAGATCAACACTGAGAAGAAGCGGAAAAAGGAAAAAGAAAAAAGAAAGAAAAAAAAAAAAAATTAGAGAGCAACTTCATATGATACATTCACAACCACGAACTGGTGATGAGTACTGATTCTTTAATAGATAAAAAGAACACACTAAAAATTAAATCGAACTAACATGCAACTAAAATTAAATCACTTTACTTCCAAAAATCGAACTTATTGTCAATAAAAAATAACATCAACACTGAATATACAACGAAACAGAAAAACACAAGTATTTGATTAAAGTCAAAATTTATATATCAGCGCACCAAAAATACGAAACTAAACCCTAGATCTCTTATAAAGTGCAAAATTGCATAACTCAGAATGGCAAAATTAAAAATACACACATACATAAATGGATGTATAAATATAAACATATATATATACACACACACACACACACACACACACATACATACATACATACATAAAGAAAATCGGAGAGGGACCTGAACGGCGCTGTGGAAGATGCCACCAAGACCGATACCGTCTTTAAAGATCTTGTTGATCTGAACAATGGTGTTGTTCGTCTTATCTGAACCACTATTCGTCACGTCATATATGTGGAGGATCACCTCCGTCATATTCATCATATCGTTTCCCTCTCTACTCTATCTCTCTCTACAAATTGGTCCAGAAACCCTAAGCTCCTCAGAATCAGACTCTCTCTCTCTCTCACTCGCTCGAAACTCTCTGGGATGACATTATTCAATCATATACCAAGAATCACCAAAATCCTTATCAACACCAACGATCATTTCGCCTCCATCAACGTCAATTTTTTCCTTTTTCGCTGTACGATTCCGTGTGTTTGATTTGATGATCGTCTCGATATGCTCAATCTATACCTTTCTTGCTATTCGGGTTTTGTTTGAAGTTTCAAAGTCCAAAACCTTATGTGTCCGGATGCGGCAACAGTTACATTTATGCATGTATAAAAAATTACAGGAGTAAATGTAAATATTCTTTATCTTCATTTTTTTATTATTAATTGGTACCTTTTTTTCTCATACTTTTCTTCTTCCTCCTCTTCTTTCTTTATTTATTTATTTTCCAAAATTTATTACAAGTGAATTGTAATCATACAAAATAAAACAATCTTTTTATTTATTTTCTCTCCACTGTATTTTTCCTAAACACAAAATAAGGTTTATATAAATCTTTTCTTTTTCTTTTATTAATATGCTAGAGAGGTTAACACCCTTCTTTCTCTCTTTTTTTGTACCATGGCACATGAGACTTTATGCCACCATTTCATTTTATGACAGTTACAACTAATTAGAATCATCCTATTCAAATAAAAAATACTAATAAATACACTTAAAACTGATTTATTGCCTTTATGTGAGAGGAAGGAATGCCACGGGAGGAGACTGTTTAGCAGTCTCATTTGGGGACAAATCTCACTAAATGAATGTGATTACGATTTAATTACTCAATTCAACGTTAAAGTATGAATTATAATTAAATATATTTGATAGCGTTTTTAAACATAGTCATTAAATTCTCATCAAAGTGGATGGTGGATGGTGAAACTTCGAGTCTTGGCCGTGTGTGATGGACTTGGATTTTCTAAGTTAAATATTCTCTAAGTTATTCTTAATTAAATTCGCTAGGCATTGACACTAATTTAAAGAAAAATTTAAAACTACACTTTACCTTTCCCTCATCTTTTCCCAAAAAAAAACCTTATCTTTTCCAAAAACAAATCTTCCCTCTCTCTCCTATTTATTTATATCTTAAGCAAGTCGTTTCTATTTCTCTTTTAACTTTTCTCTCTCGTCTTTCTATATATAGGATATTTTTGGTTGTATATCCATGCTTATATATATATATATATATATATATATATATTCTTTTTCAATTATTAATATTGTCAGTAAAAGTTGCATGTCTACGGTGAATTTTTCTTAATTTAAAAAGGTGCAGTTTTTAAATTTTGATAAATTTTTCTTATCTCAAGACGGTGTAATTTTCAAACTTTCTTTATAAATTAGTTGGCGTTGTTTAACACGACCAGTAGATAATTTTTAAATGTCACGAGTCAATCTGCAGCGAATTCAATTTAGGATAGCTTATAGAATATTGAAGTTAGAGAATCCAAATTCGTGTGTGAGTTTCTTGCCTATAACTAAAAGAAAAAATATATATATTTAATAATAACAATACTTAAAATAGAATGACAAGAATATCATTTACACTAAATATTTATCTTTTAATTACCACTTTAAAACGTCAACTCTTAAAAATTTGAGTAAATATTTTTAATTTTATCACATAGCATCCTATATACCATATGATGCAATTGAGTTTGCACCATTTTTATCACATACTTGGATTCTGTAAGTTAAATATTCTTTAAGTTATCCTAAGTTAAATTCTTGCAGATTGACATTGTGATATTTAAAATCTATTTACTGCATGTGGTAAATTACGTCAATTAATTTAAAGAAAGTTTGAAAACGGTATCGTTTTAAGATTAAGAAAAATTTACCAAAGTTTGAGAACTGTACCGTTTTGAAATAAGGAAAATTCACCATATTTTAACAACGTTAAAGTCGTTCTCTCTCTCTCTCTCATCTTTTGCGAAAAAGATTGCTCCCTCTCTCCTCTTGCTCATTCCCACGATTGGGGAAATATTTCACGCCAAAAATGAATGTTCTTTCCCATTATTTTGGTGCCTAGAAGCTCTGGTTCACTCTCTTTTTCTAAAATCTAAATTGCAAAATTCCTCTTTTTAAAAAATTTAAACTGCAAAATTGCTCTGGTTCACTCTCTTTTTCTGAAATCTAAATTGCAAAATTCTCTCTCTTTTCACTCTTTTTTTTTTTAAATCTAAATTGCAAAATTTCTCTCTTTTTTTAAATTTAAAATGAAAAATCCATTACAAAGGCTTAAATATTTCTCCAATCGTGAGAATAAGCAAGAGGAGAGAGAGGGAGCGATATTTTTATGAAAAGATGAGGAGAGAGAATGACTTTAACATCATTAAAGTATGGTGAATTTATCTTAACTTTAGTAAATTTTACTTATTTCAAAATATTTCAGTTTTCAAACTTTCTTTAAATTAGTTGACGTGATTAAACCCAAGCATTACATATATATTAAATGTCACGTGTCCATCTACAAAGAATTCAACTTAGGATAACTTAGAAAAGATTTAACTTAGAGGATCCAAATCCATTTATTAGACCACGATTAACCGGACTAACCGGAACTAATTTGTAATTTTTTTTTGGTGATCGGTGCTAATGGCGCAATTGATGGCCAGGGCAAATTGGGAAGGAAAAAGTTCCACAAGAAAATACTGAACATACCAATCGAAATCATCTATTCAGACATCAAACATACCAATCGAAATCATCTATCCTTTTTATAAATTATAGCAGGTTCAATTGTCCCTTCTTGAATTAAATTTTGTGTATGTCTTATTTTGAAAGAAATTAAAACATTTTTTCACACATGATCTTAATTTTGACCCAGCTGAAAAATTCAGGGAGGTTAATCCAAGGTCTAACAATCCTTGTGCCAATGAATTCTCAAACCATGCAATTAATGGAGACCTCAAAATTGGGGCAATGCAACTCTTCAACTAATCTATGTTTCCTGTGTGCCAATTGAAATTTACATGAAAATTATATGTGAATACGAAATTGGAATTCTATTCTAAGTTCATCTGATCCAACCCCATGACCTAAAATTTTAGGATTTTAACAGGTATATCTGCTCTATGGTTTTGCAAAGTGAACTGGTTTTGGCATGCAAATTTGCTCAATGACTCCATGAAACTGTTTTCTCAGTGGCTGCAACTTGATCTCATAGAGCTTTGGCCATAGTTTTCCTGTCACTGCAAACAAAACATCAATTAAAACATTTCTCTTGAGACATTACAAAACCAAAATGCTGAGAAACTCGTGACGATCCATGATATATACGCATTATGTACCTGAATATAATATTTATATATCTAAGACCGAGTACAAAATCTAAGACCAAGGACAAAATATACTGGAGCTCACCAAAAATGCGGTTTTTATCTCTATCCCATGCTATGCCATTCAAAACATCAATAGACTGAAAGATGCATTGTTCCCATATGAGTAAATTAGAAGAGAGAAACAAAAATCAATTTAGATAAAATTTATTTCGTCAATTGCATTAACAAAATGCAAAAATAACCAGTAATTTATCCGCATTATTTTAAAATTGCTTACTCTTTTCCCAGCCGCTAGCAATCCTTCCCTGTAAAATCATAGAGATGTCATCGGTTAAACTCTCCTAATGCAAACTTTTTCAAAGAATATTTAAATCTCCTAATGCAATTCCATGATCAGTTAATACATCATATATATATTAAAAAGTAAACAGCAGAACCTTAAATTATGAAGGAGAATCCATCCAAGCACAACACCATCTTTAAGTGAGATTCTACATATGCAGTCAGTCTGCGCAGTGAGAACACTAACTTCAGAACCTAACCTAATTTAATAGAAAATATTGTCAACCATAAACTGAGAATCAGGCAGTTTAATGGACCGCAAGAATCTTCAAAATCGAAAGAAATTAAAATAAAATATACCCATCACAATCCAATTCAAGGGCATTGAAATCAAAATGCCCCTTTTAGTCATGTTATAGCTACAACCTCAGCCAAAAAATAAAATTAAAAGAAAATACAATAGCATTTTTGTGCTGAGAAAGATGTCTTAAACTTGCCCAAAAAAGAAACAAAAGAAAAAGGACATGTAGAGTTTGAGTTCATCTCGAAGAAATGAGCAGCACTGAAGATCTGATAACAGCACTCTATAGATTTATTTGCCTAGGAAGGTCCTCAATTCAATCTCATGTCATGAGCAGAAAAAATACAAGATACCAGCGAGAAAATTGGCTTATCAAGCAAGACAATTAATAAATAGACAAGTGAAAAAGTGTAGCACCTGCCATACATTTGCCCAAACTTCACCATTTACATACTCTAGTTCATTGAGGTTGTGTACCTCCTGGCCTCTGTACTTGACAGTTTGTTTTCCAATGACTGCAAAATCAAAAAAATTTATATTTTATTCAACATTCAAGCAGCAAACTGGTACCAAAGCATGGTTCTGTACAAAACTATGGCACTGCATACAGCAACAGTACAAATAGAATAAACAGAAAGACAACAAACAATTGAAGGAATGTCCTAAAATCCATCATCTATCATGGAGGGATTAGACACTATTTTAGCCCCCAAAAAAGAGAAGACAGTAAAAATAGCCGCTTGAATCTGATGATGAGATCTATTTTCAGAATAACATAAAAGAAATTGGATTTGATTGTAAAAAAACCTTTCAATGTCTGAGGGTTGATTTGATAAAGCGTGGAACTTCCATCAGTGCCAAATAGAACTTTTCCATCAGTTGCTAGCCCCCAACCATCTTCCATCTGATGAGTAAATTTCTTAAACTGCATTGAGAATTAAAGCATGAAAATTGTCAAAGATCCGAACCAGTAACTATTTAAGAACTCTAAAAGAAAGTAATTCCATGAGAACATTCCTAGAAGAGAAAAATAAACAGTCAGTGGGATAGTGAAGCATTACAATCAATTTGACAAATGCAGAAAATTTAATTAATTTATACTCAACACACCATAATATATATTCCAGATGGTTTAATTGAACTATGGCAGATCAATCATCCTAAAAAACAAAGGATGAACTTGGGACTTGGATTTTATCAAGTAGGGCAGTGATCCAACTTGACAAGGTATCACCGTAACATATCAGTAGTTCAGTACACCATGAGGTGTGGTAACCGAAAATACAGAATAACATTCCAAAGGTGCCCTAAAAAGCTAAAAATGAAGAGCAAGAACTAGATAAACACAATTCAGTATTTCTGAACATCCCAAAAAATATATTTCAAAAAAAAAAAAAAAAAAAAAAAATTATTTTTTAAATGACTTGGCAACAGATATCAATCTCTGCATACTAATTTTTTTATATTCTGATTCTTCAGAATCCAATATCTCATTATATCCCTATCATGTCAAATCCATATCCCATGTCCATGACCATGCACCATGCACCGCAGCTTTAAAGTCTCTCATTAAACCTAAGTTGCACGGACACAAATGTGATACAGATATAGTGACACGTCAAATCCTAAAAAAGTAGAACACTGATACGTGCGGACACGGCTAATGTAAATAATAATTACCAATTCTAATTTAATTAAATAAAAAAATTATAATGTATTACATAATTTAGAGAAGATAGCTATGTGACTATCCTAATATTATATGTGATACCCTCGGATTCTCAAATGCGGGTTGGCCAGGCCCACGCCCGAATACCCGAGGATATCAAAAATAAAATCGACAATAAACGAACACAGAGTACAAAAGAATAAAGAAGAATAAATAAAATGCTAACAAGAAACTAAAATGATAATCTAATAATAAACCTCAGAATATATTTCCATTAATTAATAAACTCTTCTGATATAACTGATCCTCCAAAATACAACTCGGGAATCCATACTGTGTGGACCCCTAGAAAATCCAAACTAAACAAAGGACAGCAATAACTGTCTAAATCAGGAAACTGAATCATAAAGGAACTCCTATGTAGCATCGGAAGAATGAAGTAAACTGATCCCCGCTCAGCACGAACAACCTCTACTCCTGACGAACACCTGAAAAATAATGGTGGGTCAGGCCCACAAACAAGTTCTACTCTACTACAGTCCAAGCAGAGATCCGATAAACGTATACATCCTAGTCAATCCAACAGTAACTAGTAGTCCGTATATATATATATATATATATATATATACACACACACTAAAGGAACCTCACTAGACTATAGGGTTGTCTCAACCTGAATAGTAGGCAACATGCAAAACGCACATATAGTGGACATGAGTACCTAGACCTACTAGGGTACACAACTACACTATATCTAGCTACACATCCCTGGCGATATACGCACCCTAACCACTGATCCTGAGACTCAAGCTCATATCATGGCACTATACCTATATATATAAAATCTAGTAACCATCCTATTCAGTATAAATTAATCCTCCATAAGTCATTCAACTTGTTCAGCTGACCTGACTTGAATATAAGTAGGACTTAACATTTTAGTTAATCCATTCCCTTATATAATAAATTAATCCTCCATAAGTCATTCAACTGGCCTGACTTGAATATAAGTAGGACTTAACATTTTAATTAATCCATTCCCTTATATAAAATAGGTAGGAACTAACTGATAAGTTAATCCGTCCCTAGAATGCCACCGTCCCATACTGGGGCATTTTTTTTTTTTTTTTTGATAAGTGTCCCATACCGGTGCATTAAACCACACAATCCAACAATTAATGTAACGATTAAGGAAATACATCAAACAATTCAGAAATAACTATGATAATATGATTTCAAGTTATCACAAAATAGGAATGACTTATTATTTATTTAAGCTTCCTATATCATATGTCCTACATAAACTGAATCTTATACACATGATGATATTTTATTATACCGTCAAATAAGCATTCTCCATACCCAATTCATTCTACACATTTAATCTTAATTGCTAAAACATTTTAAAAGATTAAATCCATTTGTTTGTTTAAAACATGCAAATAGCAAGCATCATTATGATTGAGTCTATTTAAATTTATTTAAACCCAAACCTAGTTCCTATTTAATGTTCAGGAATCCTAGGCATGTTTCTACGTTCCATCATTCCACAGATATGAAAAATACATAATGTAAACATATAAAAATTCACACCGGAAATCAAATCAAAATCATGCATTTATCAATTCATAACACAAGAACAGATATGAACCAATTTCATAAAACCTATGTTCTAATCCAATTAAACATGCATAATTATTTAATTTTATGTGTTTAATAAATCCTGGAATTTCCTAGGCATGTACAGAAACACGAATCAAAGGGAAAGAGATAGAAGAAGAACTTGCCTTAAACTTTCAGATCGAAAGTTAAACTTCTTCTTCCTTGATCTTCTCTTTACAGGGTTTTTTTCCTCCATCCCTATCTAACTCCCTCTCTCTAGAATATATCATGTGAATATTTCTAACCCTCTTTTATAACCTATAGCTATATATTTATAGGCTAAATAAAATAACCCTAATCCTTTTCCCAATCCAAGTTAACTTTAAAAAAAAAAAAATTATTAAAATATTAAAAAGGTAAGTAAAATATGTTACGTATATAATTTATGTATATGTTTATTAAATAAATAAATTATACACATTTCATTATTTATTAATGGATTATCCAATAATACTTAAGTTACCATAATATTATAAAGTAACTCAAAACGTAACACGTATCAAATCTATGTATATTTTTATTATTTAAATATAAAACATATACATCAGATTAAACATTACTACCCAAGTTACCATAAAAGTAATTAATAAATTACTTTCCCTTTTATATATATTAAAAAGGTAAGTAAAATAAGTTACATATATAATTTATGCATATCTTTATTAAATAAATAAACTATATACATCCATTATTTATTAATGGATTATTCAATAATAAGTAAAATATGTTACGTATATAATTTATGCATATTTTTATTAAATAAATAAACTATATACATCCATTATTTATTAATGGATTATCTAATAATACTTAAATTATCATAATATTATAAAGTAACTCAAAACGTAACACGTATCAAATCTATATATATTTTTATTATTTAAATATAGAACATATACATCAGTTTAAATATTACTACCCAGGTTACCATAAAAGTAATTAATAAATTACTTTCCTTTTATATATGTATATAATATATCTATATATATACATACACAATTATCCATGGGTAATAATCCATACACATCCAACCTCCTATCCAAGTAGTCCATAGGACCCAATTGGTTGGCCCATTACTATTAACCATAACCATAAAAGAAAAATAAAATAAAATAATAAAAGAAAAAAAAACATTTAATTTACAATTAATCAAAACACCATTTAAGCACATAATCTAATTAAACAATTAACACATAGACAAATACAAATAATACATAGGCACATAATCAAATAATCAAGTAATACCTAATTCAATTAAACCCATAAGTAATTAATCAAATAATCAATTAAATAATTAAAAATACAATTAAAACAAATAAATAAATACCGAGACTATCCTTTTAAAATTAGGGGTATTACTTATTCCCCCCTAACAAAAGGAATTCCGTCCTCGGAATTCGCTCTTACTTTCTTCCATTATGCTTAGAAACTGTGAGCGAAAAACATCCTCCTATTCCCAAGTAGACGCAACCTTACTATGAGGGCTCCACTTAACTCCAATATACCAAGTGGTATACAGGGTTCCTATATTTTAAGAAACACAATAATCATACAATGTATAGGGTGTATCAACGTAATCCTCCCATGTCGACAAGAGAATGATCTACATACCTCCAAGTGCCATAGAATATGCGCACAAACTCCTATGCACCCAGCGCTAATAATTAGGTAACGTTAATTCAGAGGCGACTGCCTCAATTGCGAAACACAATCCTCTAAAAGTCAATGTAATAAGTAAAATTGACATTTCTCTAAAAATCGCCGTTCTTCCTACATGGAAAATAGAACGAGCAAACTACTACCTAATAGAAAAACTCTAGTATACGAGTTCAACTATTTACAACATCCCACTGTCGCCTCCCAACTGCGCGCAGTTCAATACAAAGGGAAGTATCTATTTCCGACATATTTTTAAATGAAGTCGAGGTCTGATTGCACAACCCTTAATTCCATTTCCAACCAACAAATGAGAGGTATGCATTGTGAAAGATACAAAACCTCCAAAGTTGTCACACTAACCTCCTTGTGCCAACAATATCACAGACAAAATTCCGACAAGTGAAGTAAACACTTCCAACTATCCATGAAAATCTAGGATATACGCCTCAAACATTTCCTTTATGGTCTAATTTAATCTCTCGATTAATTCCTCCGTCTATAGATATGAAGTAGAGCTATTGCTCCAAAATCTTCATAAAGCTCTTTCGAAATAGCACTTTGCATCCACTAATATGGACATCCACATGCTATAATACCACTATCACTAAACTATACAACTACTATGAAGTTCTAAAATAAGCATCACTCAAATTTATGTCCTCAAACGATCTTTCTCAATCCACCACTCGGATTCCATATAGAAAATTGAAATTCCAAATCAATGTCGATCCTTCCCACCGACCGTCACTCCTATTTAATTCAACTTCCATATTTGTTATAGGAAGTGGCTAAAGATTCCTATGATATCCGATGATCAACTTTCCACCTTTGTAGCAGGTTTTACACTTAGGGCAATTATATATGCATCATTATCCGTATCTGTTCACCAAAACCGACATTTGATGTCATGATGTACCTTCTGACCGTCTGAGCAC